GAGGAACACAACCTATCACAAATCCTATTGTGCCTTAATATGAAGTATGATCCCAATCTAGAACTTGCATCAATGAATATGTTTAATGTCATGTTCATGTAACATTTGTCATAGTTTGCATAACTGATTTGCTCAAAATAGTCAAATTTATTGATTTTGCCAAGCCAAAAAATCCGTTTATGACTTAGAGTGCTATGAGACTTGTAGTTGTACATATTTACAAATTACATCAAGATTCAGGTGTGACTTTACCACAGTAGCCAAACTAAGTCAGTTAATTCAGGATCTGGCCAAGTGAGGGCTATCTAGGGTCCTGTCTGACGAGCCCACAACCTCGGTGCTGCCTGTCCTCCACGGAGAAAGGTTCCGGTACTTTCTAACCAAGCACTTCACGTTAGTCTTTCCTTGCTTCTTTTCTTCCGAAAGTGGAGGGCTCAAGAAGGGGATTGGGGCAGCCCCAGTGGTATCAGGTATCTTGCAGGGTAGCCTAAGGTGAGGGGTCCTCGCCCTGGCAGAAAGTGAGGGGGGAGAGAAGAGTCTGACGGTGCTGGAGCTACAGAAACAGAGACCAAACATTGGTCTCCGGTTCTGCAGTTCCAGCTCCATCAGGCTCTTCTCTTCTCCCCCCCCCCATTTTCTGCCAGGGCAAGGACCCGCCCTCTAGGCTTCCCTTCAAGATGCCTGATCCCACCAGGGCTGCCCCAGTTGGAGAAGTGTGGTGAACTCTGTCCTGGGGCTAAGATGCACATGCCCATAGAGAGGGCTCTGACTACCCCCTCTGGCACATGTGCCATAGGTTCGCCACCACTGTCCTAGGCACTCCTAGAAAACAAAATAGTATATGGCTATAAGCAAGATATTTCGAATTGTGCACCCTGCCCAAAGAAGAGACAAGATAACCTGGAATGGTAGTCATCATCTTGTGAGACTAAAGTTGGATGAGGGATCATCTTTCTTGTTCCTTCTATTCAGTGTGTACCTTATTTGAAGAAGTCTCATTTTGCAATTGGGAAATCTTCTGGCAAGAAGTTATGATAAATGTTGCAATGTGCTTTAAAATTTCTTAACGTGCCCATTGACTGCAAACACATAGCAATTCCTGTTCTAACTAAAATGAATATAAATAAGATGGTGATACATATAATTCATTTGAAATTTGATTTTGAAATCTAGGGCACAGATTGAAAGACTCTGAAAAAATGGAGCTACTAGTAATAGCAGTGTCTCTATATATGGCTCAACGACTTAGATCACAGAGATTTCTGCGAACTCCAAGGTAAGTTTGATTCTAGAACATTTTGTTAGTTAATGGTGTCATAGAGAGCTGTTGAAAATTGACAAGATTATTATTTGTTCCCTTTAAACATTTTAAATATGAATGTTACCTATTAAAGGTCATCTGGACAATAAGTCAACATAGATTGTAGATAAACAATCTAAAACTTCAGACTACCTCAGACATTTGGGTGAAACTCTTTAAAAATCCAGGAGAGGGAGAAAATGAATAAATATCTTATTAACTGTAATAATTTAATTTCATTTGAAATAAAATGAATTTATTTGTGTGCTGACTGCTATGTAATTTTTGATTATGACCTCATGAGTCAAAGTATACTATGTATAAATGAATGAATGAATCAAAAAGAAAAGAAAGAAAGAAAAGAAAAGAAAGAGAAAGAAAGAAAGAACGAAAGAAAGAAAGAAAGAAAGAAAGAAAGAAGAAATTCTGTTTGTTAAACAGATTGTGCTGTTCCAAACAACATGCTGAAATATAAAAATATGGAAGCTGTGNACCACTTTGGTGGGAAGGTAACAGCACTCTGTGCACCTTTGGCATTGAGTCATACCGGCCACATGACTATGGAGAACGTCTTTGGACAGCACTGGCTCTTTGGCTTAGAAACGGAGATGAATACCGCCCCTAGAGTCGGAAATGACTAGCACACACGTTCGGGGGAACCTTTACCTTATCAGTAATTGCCCTAAATTCCAAAAAGCATTAACATTAGCACATTTCAGTGTCCTCTCAACAGACGTTCTTGAGGATAAATATAAAATATTTCCTCAGAAACTTAAGATTGGGCTCTAGTTCAGCAATCCTCAAGCTTTTCCTCACCATGGACCAATTTCTGGAAAAGTTTTTCCCCACAGACCAGACGGGGATGAAGGGGATGGTTTTGCATGTGACCTAGATCCTGCCCAAGTGCAGTTGCTGCTTTACTTGCTTCCAGGTCTGGTTTCTAAGAGGTTGCAGACCCCTGCCATAGTTCACACCCTGCTATGTTGTGCCTTCTAAAAGGAGAGCCTATTTTATAATGTTCTACTTGGCAAAATTCGTGAACTATTCTGATTTATTTTATGTGAAATTATTTTTTACGAGACTAATACCACTTTGCATTCTTGAACGTGGATACATTTTCTTATACTCCCTTTAAAACTAGAAATGCTCTGGTCACATCAATGATTTATTTCTTATGTTACATTGCTTTAATTTATTTGTTTAAACTGTTTAATTATTTTATTAAGTCAGTGTTCCGATTAACGACTCTAATAAAGGCTACTACATACTGCCACCTGGAGGCCAGCCAGGAGACAACAGGTTGTTTGGAATTCTAAAGATGATAAATTGGGCTAGGGCAGTGTTTCTCAACCTTGGCGACTTTAAGTCCTGTGGAAGTCCTGTGGAAGTCCACAGGATTTAAAGTCACCAAGGTTGAGAAACACTGGGCTAGGGTGTGACATTCCCTTAAGCGTGTTCTTGATAAGTATTAAGAGAGAAATATATACCTATTTAGATTTTATCAGAAACTTTATTTACCAGAAACTAACAAAAGTAGTAGCAGATATGCCTCTGAGCTGACCAGTAATCATAGAACACTTCTTGCTGGGGGTTGTAGGTCTACTCTGTGATTAAGTTTTTTGAAGGATTTTGCCACCTTTAAATACTTTTTTAAGAGACAAGGAGTATAATTACATTGGGAGATGGCTTCATGCCATATCTTATCGTGGCATATCTTATCAGTGACTTGGTCAAAACCTCAAACAGTGGACCCGATGCCAGAGGTATTTTATAGTTCTAACAGGCACTTATTGGGGAATATCTCATCACATCTCCAATAAACAATAGTGTGTAATTTGAGCGGGAACTCAAATAAGTGACCTTGTGATAAAACTAAGATATCACTTCTAGCAGGCAACACCTATATATAGTCTGCTAACATCTGATTAGTAAGAGACCCTTTGCTAGAAGTCCTCTTATAGGAAACAAGCATTATAGGAAATACTGCTTCTAATATGTAGCCATTGCCTGTCAGCCTTCAGCAGACGTTAGAGTAAAGAGTTCATGCATTCTGTTTAGTTTTTAAAAGTACAAACATAGATGAGAGGCTCACAGGAAAGATTCTGTATCATGCAATCTGCTGAGTGACTTTTTAAAAGCATGTGTGGAAAAATTTGCACACATAGCTCAGCTGGTAAAGAAATCTTTCCCACAATTATTTATTACATTTACAAAAAGAAAAAAGGGTCCACACTCATATCTCCTCAACAGGCTTCCATGGCAGAGATAGCAATAGCATTTAGACATATATCGCTTCACAGTGTTTTACAGTCCTCTCTTAAGTGGTTTACAGAGTCAGCATTTTGCCCCCAACAATCTGGGTCCTCATTTTAACGATCTCGGAAGGATGGAAGGCTGAGTCAACCTTGAGCCGGTGAGATTTGAACTGTCGAACTGCTGGCAGTCGGCAGTCAGCAGTATTTGCCTGCAACACTGCATTCTAACCACTGTGCCACCACATCCTACTATGTTGAGGATGAAATCTTTTATCCCAGTTTATTCCAAATAAACTGAGGTGGGAATTATGAAATGGAAACTTGGAGTGCCAGAGTTGGCTTTTCTTCTTTTGTGCAAAAAGAAAATGAAGTAATAATACATTTTATTATGGGCTATAAGAATAAGGAATTATCAGTAGCAATTCTGATTAGGTAAATTAGCTCTTATTCCCAGGTAATCATATTTAGGACTTCAAACAGGATTAGAAGTCCTAAATATACTTACCTGGGAATAAGAAGCTAGTTTCCTAGCTTCTTATTCCTCTCCATGTGTGAGTTACCTCTTCAATAAATCTCCTATATCTATGGAGACTGTCTGTCCACTTCTGATTTTCCAGAATCCTCAATTAGATGATAATCTTTCATGAATAAAGAAGATATCCATTGAAGGCATCACATTTTTCATATTGAATCCCCCCCCCCTTTTTAAAAAAGAAGTGAAGCAGTAACAGTTTCTTCTCCATCTTGTCTACTTCCATTTCAGCTTTGAATTTTCATTATTTACAACTCTGTTGCCTGTTTGCTGTATGGAACTTGTATTTCCATCCAAATCTTGACACCTGGATTTTTTTTTAATGTAGATTTTCTGTTACTGGTCAAACAAAGGATGATAAAGATTATTAGTGCATGAAGCAAATCCATGTGCAGGGCTGGTTTTCCACAAAAAAAATATGAAATACCAGTTTTAATGTTTTATAATATTAATATTTCTATTGAAAAAAAAAGCAAAGCCAATTGCTTTGGTCAAATATTCGGATTATTCCTGAGTGATTGCTGTGCTTCACAATTTTGGGAGCGGAGGTTGCTTTCAAGTTACTTTTTGACTCCTGGCAAAGTTCCTGAAATTTTCTTGTCAAGGTTTTCCAGAAGCAGTTTGCCATTGTCTCCTACTTAGGAATGAGAGTGATGGTCCAAAATCACCCAATTTGGGTGTACCTAATGTGCTGGTAAAGCTCATAGTTTCCTGGTTTCTAGCCTGATTTCTAATCCACTACACCAAATTTGTTCTATTAAATAGTAAGCACTATTGACATTAAAACTCATTTATTCAGGAATTTCTCATTTAGAGCTTTTTTGCGGGGGATGCTTTGACTTGTCAGTTCAAATATCATTAAGCATATGTTCTCTGGCTGCTAATCTAATGGGAATAAATGTTTTATTTTCAGGTGTTACTCATAATATAGCATTGCTACGTGAAGTAATAAAGCATCCACGCTTTATCCAGGGAGACATCAGCACGAAGTTTCTTCCTGAGGTGTTTACCGAAGGCTTCAAAGGTGAAGGAAAACTCTCTCTTAGAAATAATTATGTGAAATAGCCTTTCTTTCTTTCTTTCTTTCTTTCTTTCTTTCTTTCTTTCTTTCTTTCTTTCTTTCTTTCTTTCTTTCTTTCTTTCTTTCTTTCTTTCTTTNGGAGCGCACCTGAACCGGTAGTAAAAATATTTGCAACCCACCACTGGTTCAGATGCTTGGCAACTGGTTCATTTGCGACCTCCTCACAAGCAGAGTCAATGGGGAAGGCAATTCACTTAACAACTAGGTTACTAACTTATCAACTGAGGCAAGAAAGATCATAAAACTCATAAGAAATGTCTCACTTAACAACAGAAATTTTGGATTTCAATTGTGGGGTTGTGAAGACTACCTGTGCAATATTTGGAAGGCTACATCTTGCTTATTGCTAATCAAAGAAACATCTCTGTGTTATGATACTTTTTGTGATGGAAAAGTAGTGTGAACTATTAGCATATGTAATAACTCACGTTTCTCTAAGATCATCTGAAGTGCTCTCATGATATTAGCTTTTGGGAGTGGTATTATTATATTCAGTGGATGACCTCTAAACGATCATTCTGACAGCAAATGGCCACAGTGTGTTTATGTTTGTAAAACTTGCTACTGTGGTTGATTTCTGTATCCCTCATTATCATGGTGAGCCTCTTCTGAATGTGTTTCTCACTGCTGTTTTTGAGCAGTGGTCTACAGAAGTGGAACTCCAAATGGGTCTGACCAAGACAAGATAGATTGCAGCAATAACCACCCATGATTTGGTGCATTCTCTTATTAGCATTTTAGTTTATGTCATCTTTAACTTGTGGCTTGCAAGGATTCCCAGATTACCTTTGCAGGTATGAGATGTGTTGTTTCTGACAGTGTACCTCCCCATCCCATCCCCAAATACCATATTTTTCAGACTATAAGACGCACCGGAGTATAAGATGCACCTAGATTTCTAAGAGGAAAACAAGAAAAAAATAGTTTTTGGCCTCCGCGCCCCCAAGAGCACTCTGCAGGCCTCCCAAACCCTTCACGGGTCCCGTTTGTGCCAAAAACGAGCCCATTTTTGATGAAAACAGGATGCAGAGGAGGGTTTCAGGAGGCCAAAAACAGGGATGTATTCAGTCTATAAGATGCACAGACATTTCCAGCTACTTTTTTGGTGGGAGGAAGGGAAAAGTTCATCTTATAGTCCAAAAAATTCAGTAACTAGATATATTCCTACCACAAGTTTGCATTTTCCACTTTTTAGCTTGGAATTTTAAAACTTACTGTTCATTCAGTTATTTTTCCCCTAAGGGCAGTGTCACAGTTATTTCTTCAAACTAGTTATCAAAATGTCCGATATTATAGAAATCTAGTTGACAGACGATATGCAGATAATAGAGCTAGCCATTATGCAAAGGAGTTATGAACAATTAATGTGTTTAAGTGCTTTATATACTTTGCTTAGGTTTTACTCGGTTTACTTAACATCCTGATTTATTATATAGCGGGTACCACTTTTTGATAAAGATCAAGTTTATATTATGCAGTGAAACAAAAGTCTTGCAATTGTCATGTTACGAATACTGTTTCAAGTGGAAAACCTTTGGCTTAAATGAAAGTAGATTGTTTGAATACCCCCTCCCCCAACCTAAAGTGTTGTTCATCCCCTATATTTGGCTGGAATTCTAATTTATGTAGGAGATTAGGAGAATAAATGCTCCAGGTGGGACATTTCATGGGTCTATCAGTGTAATGTTTGTATTTCTAAACTCAAAACACCTACCGCACTTCCTATGTGTTGCTTGTATTGGCTACTAATATTTTCCTATTATCACTGTTAGTTTTGGCGTCCCCTAACATGGAAAAACCCACTGTATTAACAACAATGGCATATTGTACTTAAAATGTGACAAATTCTTTTTAAAATCCCCAACAAATTATTTGTTTAATCTGTTAAACAATTTACCTACTATTGAAGGTAGTAGGATACCTTTCTTGCAAATTAGTGTCCTCCTGATGCCCTTGATTTTGATTATAACAGCTGGAAATTATAGAAGGTGAAATCAATACAGTTAGAGGATATCAGATGACAACAGAAGCAGCCATTTGAAGATCTTGTCTAGGTAGACTGGTCCCATTTTTCTTTCCTTTTGTTGGGTTCTTGTTCTGTTTCATTTAAATCAGACTTTCCTTTTGTGGATAATGAAATGGAGGCAACAGATTGTTGAAAGATATAAGGATTGTAAAATTTCAGGGCTTAATTGAGACACTTTAGAAATGAAAAGAAATATAAGTACATACTGTACTTGAAACAGCTACATGTACATTGTTATTTCAAAGAAATAAAGTGATTTGGAGTCCAAATCCTCTTGTGATTCTCTAAAACAATGTTTTGTACAAAATACTGTTCATTTAGATGTAATTATTTAATATAGTGGATGAATGATACAGAAGACCAGGGACATATATTGTCTTACAGCATCTTGATATGAGTGCCTTTGCAACATAGGCTTTAACAATATATTAATAGTTTTTGGATTAGTTTGTATATTCACTAGTGGCTGTTAAATCAAGATGAGACATGAAGCTCTGTCTCTTGATTTTTCGAAATGGCAATGATGTAAAAAAAAAAAAACCCTGGTGAATTTGAACAGCATTACTAGGAGTGCTGAATTACTAGTTATCTGGGAATAATCTATCTCCTAAATGAGCCATTTTCTGGTAGCAATAACTATACATATAGAATTCTTACAGCACACAGTTGTCTGCATGTAAAATCTGTGGCTACGCATACATACCATATCACATTATGCAAGCATATGCATTATGCACATATATATAATTTCAGACACACAGTATGAGTGGATACACTTCCCACAATTTTCTGGAGATACTTGGTTTAGTCAAGAATGCAAACCGTATGTAACAAACTCTCGGTCAGAACAGTTGATCCCATGTGATTTTAAGTGCATTTGGAACTTTCCAAAGCAGTTGGCCACGAGAGAAAAATGAAACGAGTTGGAAGAAAAAGACATCCAAAGGACTCTAACCGCTTGTGGAACTAGTTTGGGGGTATCCTGTTAGGAAAGTGTATGTTTGTTCATACACATATTTGTGAGCCGGGATTTTTGATTTGAAGATGAATCTTCCCTTTGATTCTCCTGCTGCAAAAGATGGGTAAGACCAAGTGGCATAATTATTGTTAGTATACTCCTCTGTTCCCTGTGATGATTCCAAAAGCTCTTGCACAGTTCACTGGTATTATTGTAGTTCTTTGGCTGCAGGATACTTGGCAGCTGTTGCACCCCACTGGCAAATCCTATTCATACTTCTTTTCTATTCACCACTGCTGTTGGAGAATTGATTTCTCCCTCCTCTGCTCTAACCTTTCCCAATTCATTTTGGATTGTTCAGTGTGAAACATTTTAATTTCATATCATAAAGCCATTCATTCAGCTTTCACCCGTTTCCTTTTTGTTTTTTTAACTTGTCACTAGGGTAACAGTAGAGCATGCTTCCTCTAGGCAATCAGCTTTATATTTTGCATGCTTAATGTTGCATTAAGTGCTTGCATTTTTGTTTAACCTTCTTAAATAATCTAAGATCAATCTCATGAAGAACTAATGTGATGTCTCTTCTAAAACTCTCTTAAAATGTCAGAGATGATTGGTAAAAACCTGAAAGAGTGAAATAGAATATAAAAATCTTCTCTACATAAGTAATGATCTCCTCCAACAGATAGACACAAATGTAATGTTACCCAACATAATTATTCATATAGCCTGTAATGCACATTACCTTTCTAGCATTTATAATTGGAAATAAAAATGTTTACACATCACCACGTTAAGGATGAATGTTAAAAAGACTTTTTAAATATTTATTATATTTATGAAAAGTACATTTTTGTGATCCTGGTATGAAATGATTGACTTCTTTCTCTTCTTCACATTTGCTCTCATCCTATTTTTATTTCTTACATGAATTTATGAAACTCTCTTTGGATACTTCTAAGAGTAACATTAAATCAATTTTTATGTCTCATAGACAAAAGTTGCAATCTCCATTGTTTTCTCTGTCTCTAACTTCAAATATAAACAAGTAGATCTTTTATTATGCTTAGATAGAAGTGCATGAAATGAAAACACCAAAGTGATTTTTAGGATGTTAGACAATGCAATTGATACTGTTATTTTCTAAAGTTTTATGCTATATATTTTAGAAAGTATCTTAAAAATAATATAGCTGATATTGTTATTTTGGTTTGCTGTAGTTACTCACACCCTAATGTTATTTTTTTCCCCTTTGGTCTTTTCAGTTAGCTTACAAAAACAATTTCTTGGGCTAATTTTATAAGCCTTTATTCTAGTTCCTTGTTTAAATTAGAGGGAAAGCTACTTTGTTATCATGTCTGCCAAAAAGTGGTTTGGCAAGGTTTGTGACAGAATTTAGCCCAAAAAACCTAACATATGTAGCAGTTAATTTACTGGTAGCTTGACCCTCATGACAGAGCTGTTCTTACCAAAAAAGAATTGATTTGCAATATGATATTTAAGATAGAAGTAGGCTTTTAAATGAAGCTTATGTCCATCACAGTCAACCATATTAATCAAAGAAATAATATGATTGAACTCAAACAATCCCAATCTGTTATCAGATGACTAGGAGCCTCCATAAATCCAAATTATTATTATTTAATTATTACTACAGGAAGCTGTAAATCACACCACTCGGTGTTTGTGTATGTGGGGGCGCTCTGCATAAATGGACAAACACAGGTCTACATCTTTATTAAATGTGAGCTCTTCGATCTGTTTTCATTTCATTAGTGATTGTTTGCATTTTTCTCTCTCCCTCTTTTATACTGTACCCAGGCATGCTCATATGATACACATGTGGTTTGCACTCATGCTGCTTTTCAGCTTGGTTAGAATTTTGTTAGTAACAAGCACTTACGTATATTGGGGGGAAAAATACATTACGTATATTGTGCCAAGAAGCACAGGGCAAGT